TGCCGTCGAATATGTAAGAGCTAGGCAATGGGGGATATCAAGCGACATGAAGGCCCCGCGCCACGTTGGGCACGTGTGAAGGCGAGGAGAAAATATTGAGATGATTGAGAAGTCGCGATTTTGTCTACGCAAAGGTTCGATCGGAAGTCACGGCCCGCTCTCGACTGAGGGCCGCGCAATGGCGTCAGCGCCGCCGCATCCCCCCTAGTCCAGTCGCGGGCGCGAGTCGGCCGACGTCCCTGCTTGCTCTTCAGCCGCGTGTCGCCGGTGCAGTCTGAGCATATCGGCGGTGAAATCTATGTTCAGGGTGTCTTCCCAGGCGACGCAGACTCCGCTGCACCGCGCGCATGCGAAGACGTCGCCGCGATGTTTCAATCGCTGCGCCAACATGGCCCACGCGGAGGTCGCTGCGCGCAAATGCATCAATTCGGGGAAAGGAAATGATCTCACCGTGGCCACGCACCCTTCCAGATAGTGGCCGATGCCGTCGACGTCGCCGTCGTCCATCCCGCAAAGGAAACAGCGATCGTGAACAGGGCTGGGGGCTGTCACCGAGGCAAGTTCTGCGTTGGCAGGCTGAAACCAGCAAGGCACAACAGCGAGGACTCCGGGCAGTCCGGCACCGTGCGGGCCACGCGAGGCCCTGGGCCCGCTCGAACTGAAAGGTTTCACGAGGATGAACGTTTTGTCTTGGCGAATATGTTGATCCAATGCGAAAACACGCGCTAATGCCCGTCTCCGCAAGGAAGGGAAGCATGCCATAATAGAATCGAATGCTTCATTTGAGATCTTCGATACCATCAGCGCGAAAGTCTCGATGTCAGCGGCGTCGTCTCTTTCCGGAGACGATGAAGGTGTTCGCGCTGCAGCCGCGCGCGCAGCCCGCGAGGACAGTCGAAGCTTCCTGCGCGCCGGCGTCAGCGAGCGGGCGCCAGAGTACGCGCGCCGCTGGCGAGCCCTCCCGCCAGGCGTCGGGACGCCCACCTCAGGGGACTGCGAGCTCAGAAATGGAGAACTGGCAGCGCGCTGGTCGTCGGTGGCCATGGCGCCGAGGCACGTCAGAGAGATCACAGGACAGCAATGCTGATCCACAATCAGGGAAAGAGCGGGGAAGTCAAAGCAGGCCGACAATGCCGAGCCACGTTTGCTAAAATCCTGAGCCGATGAAGCGAACGGCCGTGCTGATTTTTCCCCCCGCGCATCGCCGAAACGCGAGCTGGGGAAAAATCATATTCCATGCTACTCCCGAGCGGACTTTGCGCGCGTCGCCTGTTGGGTAGCGCAACTTGCGTCGGCATTTACTCTTTGCAATGATGGCATGGGATATATGATATCTCTGGGTGTCCCTCTCCGCTTCGGCTGTTGTTGATACACATAACAATTTCTTTTTTTGGCTACGCAAGCGTCGCATCCACGCACTCCTTCATGCGAGGGCATCGCTACTTCTGCGGAAGTTGAGAGCACGCGGCTGTCAGCGTGGCTCCCGCAGAGCCCACGCGCGCCATTTTCATCCGCTGCCAGTTGGCATTCGGCAATGGCAACGGCACCTCAAGAGAACGGCGCACAGTCGCAACGGCAACGCCAGTGCGCGACGTCCACTGACATCTGGCGAAAGGCGCGATCGAAATTGGCCGCGGTGCTCAGGCAATAAGGCATGCGCGCCGCCACGACTGGCCGCGGCCAGCCGCCCAGAGGGTCTATCTCCCGGGTGTATTCCGACGCCATTGCCCGCAACTCTCGGGACCTCGTGCGTTGAATGGCCATGAGCTCCTCGATCTCTGGGATCACCGGCACGTCGTCCACAAATGGCTGGTCGCCGGTGTCCGGATGAAGGCAGACCACATACATCGCGGCCACGCGGGCGCCGTAGTAATGTTCCAACATCCACCTGTAGATGTTAAGCTGCACCCGGTAATGATTTCCCTGGCAGTCTGACAATCGGCTTAATGGAAACTTCATATTCCCCCATGGGTTCGTGAACTTCGAACGTAAATTATTCGCCCGCTTCCAATCGTATATGTACAGGCTGCCCGCAGAGTCTCGAGCCACGAAGTCGATTGACCCAGCGAGCCCCTCGTGCTCGGCGAAGATGGCCCACTCGGCGCGGAAAGCCACCAGACCTTTCAGCGCGCCCAAGAATTTCAATAACAACTGGAACTCGACGGCATCGCGGGGCACCGGAACGCGGTTGAGGTGGGCCTCGAACGTCCAGTGCATCCAGGTGCCCCGCCTAGCCGCCTCTTCTTTGTTCAGGCGCCATTTCTCCACGATCTCGTGATCCGAGAGAGATAGACTTTCCAGATGGTTTGCCAAGTGGGGGGCCGCTCTCGCAGTTGCCTTCATCTCGGCGCAGATCTCGGCGTCGCAAGCCCCGTGCGAAACAAGTAACTCGTGCAAGCGAGCAGCCTCCACCGTGGCCCGCAGCTCCGCGACCACGTCTTCCGGGCGAGGGTGGCGCAAATAATCAGGTCGCGGCCAGTTCCGCCCGCTCCGCATCTTCCCAATCACAGCGCCAGCGTCGAAAACACTGCAGTACTCATGTATCAATCCCGTGACCGACCCATGCGTTCGCGCGCCGCTAATGTAATAGGCGTGCGACTCTTCGACGAAGTGCAACTGGGAGTCCCGAGGGTGAGCGTTGAGTCGCTCGAGCAAGCGGATCTTCGGAAGACGCGGCAGCTCGAGGGAGAAATCGCACGGGACTTGGGGCACCTGAGTGCCGGGCCACCCCACCGGCGGCAACGGGCAGAACAGACGCGAAGCTCTGCGCCGCATTGCCTCCTCTCGGTTCGCTGATACCCGGGCAGCCTCCAGCGGCGCGAGCGAGCCCGACGATGACGCCAGCCCATAGGGGGTCGCTCGTTCGCGAGCCGCGCGCCGACGGATGAGTGCGTCCAGCCTATGAGCTTCGATAATTCCAGAAGTCGCGCCCCATGGAAGAGGGCGGCCGCCCTCGGGCCCCGGCCTCCGCGCGCCGAGCTCCACCAACAAGAACCACTTGTGCTCCTCGACGTCCGGAATGTCGCCCCACGCCAACCACTCGCGAACCGCTGGCAGACCTGCTCGGCGGTCTATCACAGTGGCGCTGCCGGGCCGCAGGATGACGGCCGCGAAGTGGCCCACGCTCGCGGCCAATCCAGCTTCGCGCCGCGGCGGCTCCCACTTGACGTAACGCCCTGGACCAGTCGGACCCCGCGGCTGCCGGATCAGGGCGAAGCCGAGATGTGACAGCCATTGGTTCCCATGCTCGAGCGCGCGGAATGGGCCTCGCACGCTGGTCGGCACGTGTGCTCCCAATGCGTTCAGAGCCAAGCTGAGGCACGCATGGGTGGCAGAAACGCGCTGGTCGTCGGCGGCCATGACACGAAATGCGACAGAAGGGTTACAGGACAGCAATGCTGATCCACAATCAGGGAAAAAGCGGAGAAATCAAAACAGGCCGGCAATGCCGAGCCACGTTTGCTAGAATCCTGAGCCGATGAAGCGAGCGGCAATCGACGAATCGCGACGGCGAGTGGAAGGTGGCCCCGATGTTCAGGTAATTACGAGAGAATATATTTGATATCGTATTCTATCTCGCGATATCATTATGTAACCCTATTCGCTTTACTCCTTGTCAACATTATCCCTCTCTGGATGTGATGCATTTATCACCCGGGGCGGCGCGAGCGCATCTCGGGGGAAAACTGCCGGCCGCGGTCTTCAGGATTTCCGCCCAGCTGTTAAATCGACGCCGAGTGCGCCCTCACCGCTGTAAGTTATGTGCAACAGCGCGCCCTCGACTTCCTCGACGCGGCGCACCCACTGTGCCGTCGGCAGAACGTGCCTGCTGAAACCTCTCCACACGACAACCGAATCTGCCCCTGAAAGGACTGCCGCAGCGCAGCAATGCCTCCGCATATGACAGAAATACTTTCCGGGCACGAGTGGGCATGCACCCTGCCGCGAAGCCTGCTGGCGCGCGACGGCCAGAGAGAAGCCGAAGTGGTCGGCGACGTCGGCGCAGCGGCGCTCCGCGCCTCGACGAACGGGAAATCGCGCACAATAGTCGGTCGGTCCGCAGAAGTCTTGCGTCAGGATGCTGTATGCAAGCAGCATGCAGTTTCCATCTTGCAGGAGAGCTCGACAGCCGCGCACGGCGGGCGGCGAGGGCTCTACCCAGACGCCGAGCTCTTCGGCCGCTGCCAATTCCGTCGCACCAATTGGCACTGCGTCAAGCAGTTGTGACATCTCCCTGCGCCAGGCCACAACTTTGGCCTCCCACTGCCGCTTGCTGACGTCAGGCAGGTAGGGGTCTGGTGTCGCGGGCCTCTCGTCATCTACCAGCTCGCCAGTGCTGCTCAGGAGCTGGATTGACACATACTCGATGGACCGCTTGACCCCGGAAACACATCGGATTCGCCATCCGCGCGGGTCGGCGTCTTCGACAACCGCGAGAGCATCGCACATGCCAGGTAGCGCGCGGCGAGGCGATGAGGTGCCAGGGCGGCAAGGCCGACCCACAGAGAAATACGGGCAAATGCAAAGCGAGGAGAGCACAGGGCGGCAAAGCCGACCCACGTACAAGATATGCCTTGAGCCGACGCGGCGAGTGGCGTCTCAGAAGGCGCGCAGATACCTCTGCAAAGATCGGGGTGCGAACGGAAGAGTACGCGACTGAACTGCCAATGAATAGCTGGCGCTGTGAAACTGAATGCGCCGATCCCCATCCGTTCCCGCAGTGGCTCTGTGTCCTGAGTGTCCCTGCGACCAGCGCTCGCTCATCCACGCGGGCTAACTAACAGACTAGTTGGGGGCCCTGGCTCACGCTGCGACCATAATATATCTGTTTATATTATATTTAAATCTATGCCCCAAACTTGACTCGGAGAGAATAACTTTTCATCTGGTCAAGCACATGGGAATCCACGCGAGCAATCGAGATACATTGAGGACTGACCTGTTTTCTGCCTCCCGCAGTCGCTGCTACTAACTGACAGCTCAGCCCGCTCGGCGGCGCCTCACGCCATCAAGCCCGAGAGCCCTGCCAAGGGGCTGGAGTCGTCGCCGCCTTCGGCGGCCCCCTGCGCCGCCGGGCACAAATCAATGCGAAACGTGACTGCTAGCCTCGAGTCTCGCCCCGCGAGGACGGCGTCATGGACATCTGACAAACCCACCTCTCCAGCATGATCTTTAAAATAAACCGACACCTTGTCGAGCGCGGTCGCCACGTGCAGGAGTGCGCAAGACGGCGATCCGTCTCCATCCAAGTGGAGCAGATAATGCCCGTCCTCGCGCGCATCGAAACCTAAATGGGGCGCCACCGAAACCTTGTGACTCAGGCAACACTCCCCGTAAGTTCCCCCTTTCTCGACGCTGGCGGCATTGTTCTCTACTGACGAGGCGCCTGCGAGAGAGAGAACGGACGCGGACACCCTGGCGTCGCCGCACCGCCACAGCGCCAACAGGATACCATTGCCAGGCTTCTGCAAGTCGCCAGGCGCTGCGGCCGCCTCCAGGGGCCGCCACGCCGTGCAGCTTATCAGCGCCTCTTCGACCGTCGGATGGGTCTTCTCTTTGATCTTTACGACGAAGCCTGTTTCCTGCGCGATGTAGGCACTGGCTCCAGCGGCGTAGTCCGCCACCGTGGTATGCCTGGCGAACACCGCGTCCCTGTTGATCCTCACGCCGTCGAAGTGCAGCGATAAATGCATCACCGGCTGCATGAGCACCCACGTCTGCCACTGGCGGAGAATGTAATCCTCTGCGCGCTGGTAGAAAGTGGAGAACGTCTGCCCCTCCGGCCATTTCTCTTTTTTCTTGTCGTCGCGAAGCTCGGCGTCGCTGGAAAAGTCTTCGTATACATCGGGCAACGCAGAGCACGCCACCCAACGCAGCACGCGGCTGACGCGCTGCAACTTTTTGGCGAAGGGCTCGGCGTCGACGTCGAAAGCGCCGGACCCGCCGATGGTCTCGAGCACGAAGCGCTTGGCCGCCTGGTGCCCCATGCTCGCCAACTCCTTCTGCATTACCTCGTCTCTGTCCTCGGCCAGCTGCTTCAACAATTCCAACTCCTCTCTGAACAGATTCTTCTCCGCCATGTCCATCTTCTCCACGAGTTGCCAGGCGATTGTCAGAACCGCGCTGTGGATGTCGAGATCTACAGTGCCCTGCAACATCGGATGTAGCACGCGGGCCGGGCAGCCCTGCGCTGCCGGGACATCCGCGAAGCGACGGGCCGCAGTGCGCTTGTATTTGTAAGGGATCCTGCGCTCCGCCAAGTCGCTGCCGCCGCTCACGGCCCTCTTCGGAGGGAGCCTCCTCTTCTTCACCCCGCCTGGTTGATCGGCGGTGGTCACCGTCGGCCTCTCGCGCGCGCTCTCCAGCATCGCTTCCAGAGTTGCCTCCGCCGCCTGGACGGACATGCCGACCTCGCGCAGATGAGCGTCGCCGCCCGCCTCGACGGAACCTGCGCGGCTTTTCCGCCCGCGCGGCTTTGCCACGGACCCTAGCACCGCCACCATGGTCTCGGCGTTGCGCTTGCGGCAGGCGTGGCCGTTCGCCAACGCAGCAGCGCCGCGCGGTCCCACTGTTCTGGGAGCACGGTCGGCTCCTCCAAGTCTGGCGTCGGCACGATGTCGATGAACTTGCGAGCGAAGGACACTTTCGGCAGGAGTCTCTCCTTCGCCTTGCCTTGCGACCCAGCTTTTGACCATCCGGCGGAGGCCATCGCTTGCCACGCTGTTGCTTTCTTTTCAGGCAAGCCTTGGATCTGCACTGTATGGAGCTGCTTGTAATACGAGAATGTCAGGGCGTCGAACCTCCGGTCGAGCATCTGCTGGAGTAGGTGGCGGCGCAAGGAATCCATGGGCGCCACCGCATCCTGCGAGCCGCCCGCTCCGATGTCGAAGTCGACGCCGGGCGGCGGGGCAGCCGCGCTGCTCTGGCCGCTAGGCTTCGGCTGGCTCGGTTCCGGGAGAAGACACGCCTGTCGCATGTATTTCTCCGTGATCCCGTTATCCCCTCCGCGCAGGCAGTAGTCATCTATCAACGACCTCGATGCCGCTTCGCCATGTTTCCGTTCGAAGCCCAGCTGTCGTTGCAGACCAGCGGCGATGGCGGGCCCCGACTGCATGAACGGCTTCAAATCCGGCGCCCGCGGGAAGATGCCGTACTTCTCTGCGTCCGGCAGGACGCGCCTGATGTACTCCGCATCAACGAACCGAGCCCAAACCTTGATCAGAAGAGACCTCCGGTAGATGGCGTGGAATGCACCCTCAGAGACTCCGTCGAAGGTGATGAGCTTGTTCAGCTCCATGCGTTTCCACCCGACCAAGTAAATAACTTTTGTCAAAATCTGATACGGGAGTCGACCAAATATGCCGTCGGCAGACGCCAGCTTCTTGAACAAGTCCTCCCGGAAGCTCTTCCTCAAGCCTTCTGGCTTCTCCTGCGCCGTGAGCACGATCGTGCCTTTGAGCGACTCCACCGTCTTCCGCATCTCCTCGTCCAGATAGAACACCTGCGGGTCAAAATACTTGTGGTTGGAGTGCCCGAGCATGGCGTCGAGGTGGGCCGTCGTCAGGGAGAGCCCGACGCGCCGCCGGCCCCCCAGAAGAAGAACAGCTGGTCGACGTTCAACCCTCTCTTCGCCAGAGCGAGGGCGGCCATGCACACTTTGTGCGCGGCGGCATTTGCCCAGAATGTCTGCCTGTAGAACTGGTCCACTCTCGTCGCGGCCGCCTTCAACACTGGGTCGCCCAAGTAAGCTTTGATTTTGTGCGGTATGCCGATGTATATGCTCTTGCGTTCACTCTCCGTCGCGATCTGCTGGATCGGGGTTCCGCCCTGGTCGTAGACGAACGCGATGTCGGGGTGGGCGACGCCCCTGCGCGAGGGGCGCGGAGTCTCGCACCACTCGCAGTAAAACGACGGCAACTTGTTCTGAATCATCTGTATCTGTAAGCTTCGTCCAACTCGAGCAACGCTCACTGCGATCGTTATGTACCACGGCGCGCCGCGCGCGACGCCTTCGTCCGCCGGCGCAGGCGCAGGCACATCGCCATCCAGTTCGTGGGGCTCCATCTGCGTGAGAGCTTCGAGTTCAACTGCAGAGTCTCCCGCGCCTCCCATGCCGCCGCCCTGGCCCTTGCCACCGCCTTTGCCTCCTTTGTTGAAGATGGCGTTGTCGCGCCACGCGGCGAACGCCTTCCGAGCATCCGGCCCACTCTTCTCCAACGACCCCTCGATGGCGAGCATCGCGGTCTCGTCGCCCCGCCGAACCTCGCCTGTGAAAGACCGGAAAAGCCCTTCCAAAGTCAAGAGGTACTCTTTCAGAGCAGCACAGACAATCTCTGGCATGAGACCCTCGTACTTCTCGAAGAACCTCGTATTCCCATTCCAAAAATACATGACCCCGTCATGGGCGACGAGGTAGTCACCGCCAAGTATGATGTGCATCATCATGACGTACTCTCGGACGTAGATATCGGATAGTCGACATCGATACATGGCCAGCGCTCCGAGGGCAATCCGGTTCAGGTACGGATCCCATGATGCGCGATGCTTCTCTATGAATGCCTTCACCGCCTCCGTCTGCACGAGTATGCTCTGAGCAGGCGGGTCAGGGTCTGCCTCTAAACCTTCCAGCCAGCTCCGCTCGCTGTCTACGTCCATAAGGAATTCGTCGAATTCCGCATTGCATGTAGCAGCGCCTGGAAGCTTCAATCGTCGCTGCATGGAGCTGTTGTCGGCGACCGGATCGGCGGGCGCATCCTCGAGCTCGCTCTCGTGCGCGGCGACTCCTGGGGCTCGCGGAATCCAACTCTGCAAGCAAGACCAATGATCGACCACGTGCCCACCGTCACCGGACTGCTTGTGCAGCCGAAAAAGCGCTACCAACGGGCCGTCGCCGTAAACGCTCTGAACAGAGTTCTTCGTGTCCTCGTAGTGCTCGACAACGATCTGCCCGCCCAAGACCTCGCAGAAATAATTCATGTCGTCGAAGCCCGGGTACGCTTCTCGCCCGGTCTTCAGCAGTCTGCTAGCAGTGGCTTCATCTCCTGCGTCGCGCGCCATCTGCGCGACGCGATCCCGGAGCTGCTTGGCGTTCGCCTCGCCCGCGCAAGCTCTGCGCCGATCTTCTGCGTAATCAGACGCCCGTCTGCCGCGCATCCACGAATACAAATCTGCGGCAGCATTGCAACAGTGATACAGACACAGCGTGTCGGCAGGTACCACCCCTACGGTATCGGCTGGAACGTGCGGCAGGGCAGCGGGAGGGTTCGTTGAAATGGTGATCACGCGCGTGCACATATCTTCGCCAGGATCTTCAGGCGATCCGCCGCGCTGGATTGGCGAAGGCGGCACCGTCGCCTGCTGTATGGCATCACCCAAATTAGCCGAATATTGGCTCATGGGCTGGGTGCCAGCAGCGCCCTGTTCGTCGGCAGACACGACAGCGAAATGCAACAGGGAGATCACAGGACAGCAATGCTGATCCACGATCAGGGAAAGAGCGGGGAAGTGAAAACAGGCCGGCAATGCCAAGCCACGTTTGCTAGAGCCCCGAGCCGGCGAAGCGAACGGCAATCGACAAATCGCAACGGCGAGACAAATTTGTTTTTGGAAGGGGCTGCGGCTTCCAGAGGGGCCCAGGAAGCTCCGGCATGCCAGGATGCCCCAGGAATCCCCGGGAACTCCGTGGATATCCTAAGAAGCCCCGAGTGGGTTCCAGAAGGCAGCGAGAGGCCCCAGTGGCCCTGGAAGGTCCCGGGAGGCCGATCAATGTTTGGGTAATTTGGGATACTCTGGTGGGTCTGCGATCAGCGGTCGGTTGCTTAGCAGGAACCTCGGGTCGGTCTCTGGATGCCCGTTGGAACCTTGAGGGGCAATCGGAAAGCCTGGCGGAGGTTCCCGCGGAACCTCGGAGGAGCTCAAGACGGCTACGGGATGCCTATCGGGCACACCTATCGCAAAGCAGCGTTTGCGATAGGTGCGCGCGGAGGTCTCTCAAGCCCTCTCCTGTTGGTTCTTAAGGACTATTCTGGGGCCGAAGACAGCCGCCGGAGAGGTCAAAAGGACGCTCTAGCAAGGCCTCATGAGCTTTAGAACGCCACGGGATGCTCCCTGGCTCGTTTTGCAGTGCCCTTGTCAACCTCTTGGGAGCCATCGGGCAACCCAGAGAAGGCCCCAGCAGGACCCCGGGCTCAAGAAGGTCCCAAGGGCATCCCAAAACTGTCCCTCAGGAGCACTGAAGAACCCAAAAACTGACCAGATGAGGTCCATGACTGTGAAGCTCTTCCGTCGGAACCTCTCCAAAGGTTTCGAGGGGGCTTTAGGGGCTTCAAGAGGAACCCAAGAAGGCTCCAAGAGAACAACAAGAGGGTCCCACAGAGGCTTCAAGAGATCCCCAAGAACGCACCAAGAGGGCCCAAACTATTCCGGGAAAGCGCGGCGGTGCTTCCCCTGAATAATTTCAGGTTTCCTGAGGCTGAAGCACCTGGGGTCCCCTTGGAACGCTCTTTGGGTTCTCTTGGAGCCCTCTTGATGCCTCTTGAAGCCTGCGGAAATTTTCCGAGAGCCCTCTTGGAATCTCCTTAAGGCCAGAGACAGCCCCAAGGGGGCTCCAAAAGAGCCTCAAGAAGGCCCGAGGAAAGCCCCAAGAGGGCTCCACGAGAGCCGAAACTATTCTGGGAAAGCGCGGCAATGCTTCCCCCGAATACTTCGGACTTCCTGGGATTCTATTGGAGCCCTCTTGGAGTCATCCTGTAGTTCCCTTGGGGCCTCTTGGGGCCTGCCAAAGCCCCGCGGGGAAACTCTTAGGGCCCTCTCAGGGCTCGAGAGGGCCCCCCTAGATAGCTCCAAGACGCTCAAGAAGGTTCCAAAGGGAGCCCAAGAGGAATTCGAGACCCTGATCGCCATCAGCATCAGCATCAGCATCATTATAACAGTTACCATCTTAATCATCATCATCAACATTATCATCGTCATCGCGACTATCATCGTACGCATCATCATCAGCAACGTCAGTCTCAGCATCGCCATCACCCTCAGCATGAACATCATGCTCCTCATCTCTCCGCGCCCGTCTCATTCATCTCCTTTTCCCTCATGCTCCTCCTCCTCCTTCTCCTCCTCCGATTCCTCCTCATGCATCTCCTCCTTCTACTATGTTTGATGCGCGCGGGCCGTAGCGCGGGCGGGGTCCGCGCCCTAGCACTGCCAGGGCTTCGTCGTCGGAGAGGCAGGGCCGGAACGCACGACAGAACTGCTAGTTCTGCATGACAACAAGGACCTATGTGGACGGCCATTGCCACGCGGTAAGCTGGATCTGCTCCACTGCCTGAAGAGCATCCGCGAGAGGCTGCGGGGCCCTGGGGCCGCGCACGTGCAGCAGCTTGCGCAGCTGGCTCTTGACCAGCACGGCGGCCATTCGCTGCATGGTCTTGCAGCTCGTGCTGTAAGCGGCCGCCGCTGTGAGGGCACCTTCGATCATCTCACAATCTGCAACCTGGGCCGGGGTCAACCCTGCCCGCCGCATAGATCTCATCACGTCGGCCCACTCCTGGCTGACGACCTGCCAGAAATTCGGAGCTTCATCGGCGAAGCACTTGAAATGCAAGTTAGCCTTCACTGATGACGCGGATGACGTTATCAAGATGGCTTCGCCATCGACCGCGACGACCTCAGGGTGGGTAGAGACTTCCCCAGCCAAGCACCCTCTATGGATGATGCAATCTTATGTATCTACGATGTTTCGCACCCCTATCGTACTATCCAGGGAAGCCCCACCAGAACGAGAAGGCATTCGAACGCCATATCGTTCATTAGAGTTTGGCGCCCCTGCCGCCCCTCCACGGAAGCCCCGCCAGAGCGAGCGGCACATTGGAAACGCATTTTCACGCAGCAAGGCGCCCCCCCGCCACTCCAAAGAAGCCCCGCCACACCGCGGCTGGCGAGGGTCCCCCCCCGAGCCCGCGACCGAGAAAATTCCTGATGGGGCCTCCCTGGAGGAGCAGGAGCAGCGCGAAACTTCGTAAATGCATGAAGATCGCATGGGCTACCCAGAATCCAAAACGGCGGGTGAAAGTCCGCCAAAATGAATCGCGAAATGACTTGGCTGGTCGAGGCTCCATTAACCCCCGACGACCCCGCTGCACGCGCTGAGGTGCCCCGTGTCCGGCACGGCGTGGGCGGACAAGAGCGGGCCGAGAAGCTCGGACACTCGGTCGGCGTGCAGCTGAATCCGCCCGGCGTTGTCCCTCTGCAGCTGCGGCCACCGCATGATATGGTGGGCGAGCCTGCACACCTACGCAGGGATGAAGAAAGCCAGTGCCGCGGCCAAGCCGCCGCAGGCCCGGCTGAAAACTATTTTCGGCGGTCGAGACCACCTGGCTTGGCCAGGGCTCCACAGGAAGCCTCCACAGGGCGCTGAGGGGGCCCCAGGAGAGGCTCCGGAACGCATCAAGAGACCGCAGAGCGCGCCTGACGCAAAACAACCTTCGCGATCAGCGCGCGGGGGCTTGGCGCTGTCACCCGACTAGCTTTTGAATCGCCTTC